CTTCTCTTTCTCTCTCTCTGTTTGTTTGGGGGCTTCTGCTGAGGGTTTGGTTATTCTTTATATATGGGCCTCTATCTCTCTCTCTTTCTCTCTCTCTTTCTCTCTCTCTTATTCTTTCTCTCTCTCTGTCTCTCTCTCTGTCTCTCTCTCTGTCTCTGTCTCTGTCTCCTTCCTTTGGGGGCAGACGGTATCTCCTTTCTCTATCTCTCTCTCTATCTCTTTCTCTATCTCTTTCTCTGTCTCTTCTCTCTCTGTCTCTATCTCTTTCTCTCTCTCTTTCTCTCTCTCTGTCTCTTCTGTCTCTTCTCTTTGAGGGGGAGCTCTCCCTGCTGCTGCTGTGGCGCCGCGCCCGCTTCCGTGCGTAACCTGAATACCCAAACCCTCACACGCAAACCCTAAACCCTAAACCCTAAACCCTAAACCCTACACTAAACCCTAGTAAACCCTACTAAACCCTAATAAACCCTAAACCCTAGAAAAAGCTTACTGTCTCTATCCCTCTCCTCATGGGCTTCATGCCGTCGGCGAGAGCTGGACCTTGGCCTCTGCAAGCATACACAACCAGAACCACCAAAACCCCAAACCCTAAACCCTAAACCCTAAACCCTAGACCCTAAAAAACCCTTGCGAGTGTACTAGCATTGAATTCTCACCTCCTCTCGCGACATATTGACTTTCTTTTGCAGCTTTACTTTCTAAGAAAACAAACAAAAACACCGCCTGGGGCGGCACTCCCCCTGAGGGGGCCCCCTGTGTGTTTGGTCTTCGTCTGCGTAGCGTGATGCAGAATGGAGAGAAAATAAAGGAAAATAAAGATATTTTATTTTTGTTTTATGTTTAAATTCTGAAAAGAAATGAATTTAAACGCCAAAGAAAGGCAAAACACCGCCGCGATCCACCGCGCCACCAGGGTCAGGAAACAGAGGGAAATTGGGGTGTATCTGCAGCTAAGCTGCAAAAAAAAGAAAGTTTATAGAATTCTTTTGAAGTTTTAAAAAGAAATGATGAAATATTATGCAGAAGAAAGCATATATTTATACACCGGTCACTGATTCGAGCTGCCTATACACCCCAAACTGCAGCAGCAACCTCTCTGCTGATCTACGCTTCTGGCGGCTGTAATTTAATTTTTTTTTGGGAATTTAAAGAAATAAATCAAAAACATTTACAGAAATATAAATCATCCATCAGATGAACTGCAGCAGCAACAGAAAAAGCAGCAACACGCATGCAACCACAGCCCCGCGACGCTTGCGGTGTATGTGCAGCTCACTCAGCCATCAACTTTATCGTTTTTATATTATTTTTTGTTTTTTTTT